TAAAACATGTACATAGATATTTAAATAAAAATAAAAAAATATACGAAAAATGAATAATATTGCTTTCTATTAACTTTTAGCGCATACAGTTTAAAGTAGAAAATATTCACACGTGTGATAATTTTACTCAACAGTAGCTAGTAATCATATATGATACATACATATGTATGTATGCATGTACATACATACATAAGCCTGCTACCTGTGTATGTTTTTCGCACATTTTTTTTCGCAATAAACACATGCCAATTTTTTTATAGTTTTTTTTGGTTTTGTTTTTCGCAAATGTTGGTGACTTTGCCACTGCTGTGATAAGCAATTAATATGACAAATTGGATTATGTGATAAGTATATAAACACAAAAGCGATTTGTCATCACCGTTTTACTACCTATACATACACTTGTGTATCCGATCACCTTAAATGCAAACAATTTTTTGCATTGTTATGGGTCTTTTGTTTTTTTTTTTTTGTTTTTGGGTAGCAAAAAGCTTTTCACTAATTGTTGGCGTAATTTAAATTACAAAAAAGCATCATTAGCTTCTACGCAATCATTGTTATGAACTGCTGTTAATTTGTGAAGGAAATTAAGCGCAGTTAACTCGCAACAATAACAACAATTACCATTGAGTAACATTTACATACATACATAGGGATATACTACACGACAATAAATAGTCTTTGGTGCGCCAAAATGCGTCCATTAAGCAATGCATTGCCATTCAAGAGAACAGTGACAGTGACTGGGCTTTAGTGCATTTCGGGCTTTCGGCTCGCCAAACATCTGTTGCGTTGATGCGTGTTGCGTACGGCGAAAAGTCGACAGCTCTAGCAAGTAGCTAAGTGACTAGCCAAATAAGCGCGGCTGACTAACTAACTCGCTAACCGGACAATTGGTGAACATACCTAACCAGTTAGTCTGGTATACACGAACACGTGCATGTACATATGCATGTATGAGTGTCGGTATAGCTTGTGTTTATTGACAAAATTAGCAATGAGTAAAAGTGGCGTCAGCAAAACTCTAAATAAATACGCATACTCTGAATATTATGAGCGCTTATGCAATACGTACATATAAACATAAGTATGTACATGTTATGAAAATAAGCCGGCTACAAATGATCGTAACGACGCGACGTCTTTTGCGTATGTATGTATGCGTAAATGGCAGTTAAAATGTATAGATATTCTGTCTATTTAGTTTATATGGGTTTGTATGTATGTATATACTTGTATATGTGTAGATGTATATGTAATATGTACATATTGGCGTATGAGTACATATTTTCTTTTAACATTGAAGTTGATAATTATATGGATTTTAAGGAGTGGCATCACTTTGCGTGTAATTTTCGCAGTTGAGTTGCATGCAAGCAAAAAAAAAAATAAAAACAAAACGAATATAGAATAATGAAGTGAAAACATCGAATAGTTGTATGCAGTAAAACAAAAAAATTAAAATATAAAATAAAAAGTATTAGCATACTGCTATTATTGTACGCTTCACTGTATTTATCTACATGTTCATTGATATGTTAGCACACTTGTATAATGTTATGCTTTTTTATTCACTTTGAGCCTTCGCCAAGCCATTTGTTTGTAAACAATCTAATTTTTGGCTTCGTTTCTAAGTGTATGTGCGTGTGTGCGTTAAAGCAAGCCATGCGCACTTGCGCAAACTCTCGTCATTAACAGCCGCTTGTTCTTTTCGCTAAAACTTTACATTTCTTATTATTTGCATATATTTGTGTACATACATACATATGTATCTATATGTATACACAATAGAAAAGTATATGTTACATTAACACCGATTAATCGCTATTGCAGCATTGGTGAAACCTGTCGATTAGTCAGCGCTGATCAAGTTAATATAATACATACATATATGTGTATATGTATGCACACAAGTGTAATCATATACATGTGCATGTGTGTTAATATGTTAATACAACGTTGTTAATTGAAGTAGCGATTCGCAGGAAATCTGAAGTGATCATGTCACTTATTTATTTTTATAATCAAATCTCGTGCAGCCATGTTATTAATCGTAAATTTTCAAATATTTTTTTTTTTACTTTGTAGTTTAAGTATTTTTATATGATTAATTTACCTGCAGATCGATATATTAATAGTTATTGAGCAAATTTTATGGAAGTTCTTGATACAGCGTTCAAAACACCGCACTTAAACCTCAACATTTTTGAAACTTTTGTTCCATCAATACTTATTTATGCATATCTAACATTTTTAGCGTTTATCGATAAATATCTGTTAAGGGGGAGGCACATTTAGAATTTTCAAAACTGAAAAAAGTGTTTTTTTCGCTCTAATCAGTTAAAAAAATATTCAAAAATATAGTCCCGAAGTTTCACTGGTATACTCCGAATATTTTCGAAGAATTGGGCACCAGAACCACTACACTTCATGCAGCCGCTGTATAGATACCAAAACTCTGAGGCTTGTTTCCTCGAAACTAAGTTTTTCATCCGACCGTCAAAATTGCGAGCGAATAATATAACCGATTTATATAAATAATTTTATACTCAATTGCGTGCCAGATCGCTTTTCCGAGAAAAATAGCATTTTGACAGTGGGTTAACTACTGTGATGTCGAAAAACACGGTTAAAATTGCTAGTTTTTTTAAAAAATCCAGGCCGACATCCCCGATTTTTCGAAATTCTCAAAACCCCTCTACTTGATTAAAAAAACTACTTTTTCATTTTAGATAAGAAGCCTGGTCAGGAAGTTGACGGTCGCAAAAAATGTCATCAACGGGATCGTTGATATTTCCGCCATTTTTTTTTTTTTGACATAAAATAATTTTAATTTTGTAATTCAATAATATCTCTTACTATATATGCAAAAATTCGGATGTGAGCCGTTTTTATTCTCTTACAACAAAAATGGAAAAAGTTACCTTTTTTGACGGTACTAGAGGTATCCCTCCTTATGTTAGCCTTATCGATAAAAAATCGAAATCTCAAGTTAACAGTAATTTATTCTATCATCGATCATCATGGAAATAGACTAGTTGACTTTACTTCCAGTTTTCAATAATAAAAAAGATTTATATACAGCGAATAACAAGTTTTGGTCAACATTTGTGTTCTTAACAAATTAAAGTACTCATTGAAGTAGTTCTTCTGTTTGTTTTTGTTATTGTAGCGGCATAAAATATTCGCCGAATAGATTTGCTATCGAGTTGTCAATCTGTAACCGTTTAAAGACGCCAGTCCGTTCTGGCTGTGGAGACCCTGTTGTCATTAGCACAGGGGATTACTACTGACGGTTTCATTTGAATTCAAAAGTATCTGTCAGCTGTAAACTTGAAAGATTTTTAAACAGATTCGAAGGTTTGGAAAAAAAAATCGAGCTAATGATCTAGTTGAAAGTAGAGTAAGGCCGATACAAGCAATGAGATTAGTAAATTGTATAACATTGAAACCAAAACGATAAAAACGCATTAGAAGTAAAGGTTACGATAGTCACCTTGAAAGAGACTTTAGTTTCGAGCTATGTACGAGGTGTGCTCAAAAAGTATCGTGAATTTTGTGTTTTTTCAAAAATCCTCTTCAAAGTAAAACCCATGAGATATTATACATTTGTGCCAACGGTTTTTCCAATCTTCGATGCACTTCAAAAAATAATTTTTTTTTTTCGGTCCAAGGTAGCTTCTCCGTATACCACAGTCAACATTCGGAATGCATCCGCGCACTTATTTTCGCTTTTCCCACAGGTTTGATACAGGTTCTTTGATCCATTTTTTTGAATAGGTAAAAATCGAAGACGAGCAAAGCAGCTGTCAACAATTAAATGACCATTCAAAATGGCCGAGCTTTTGGCATAAGTGAGAGACATCGCCACAAAATTTCAAAATTCGAATATACGTAACCCGCGAAAATTCAAAATTCACGATACTTTTTGAACACACTTTGTATACTATATAAAGCTGTGTTGTTATACTTTGACCAAAGTATGCGTATTAAGTATATCATGAAGTTTGTAACGGCCAGAAAAGAATAATAATAATAGTATACGTATGGAATATATACATTGAGACAAAAAAGGTCCCGGAGTAGATGATATTTAAAAAAAAAAATTATTTGGATAAGTTGCGAGGACTATCCTTAGTTGAGCGCGATCTGTCAATCATTTTGTTTAGAGTAGCAGCTTAAGTCGGTACACCTCAGTAGTGCGTTTGGATTTTTACATTGCGTAAAAATATCGAACAAAGAATTTCTCAAAAATTTTGTAGTTTTACTAAATTTCGTGTATGGAATCGTTGCGAATGTAGAAAAAGGCTTACAGTGATTCAAGAACTCAACCCTACGAGTTGTACAATGACTTCAAAGACGGTGGAAAGATCGTTGAAGGCATGCCTCGTTCTAAATGACCTTCGAACTCTTGAACTGATGAATATATTAAAAAAAGTGATGGATTTGGTGCTTGAAAATCATCAGACAAGTGTTAGAGAAATGAAAAGAGATATTTTGGGTATGAAAGACATTCTGACTCGACTCGCCCATGGAACATCTTTCAGTCGATCGAAGAGATAGAGATAAATCAAAATTCGCTGAAGGAGCTGAAGGCCATCCCAAAAAAGTAGGTATGAAAAGTGTTTCCAGAACTGGAAAAATTGTCGGCATAATTGTATTACATCTGGTGATCTTAAAACGATATTGACCCATCTTACAACTGATCATTGATTTATTTTTGGTAGGTTTTTTCTGTTCGATGCTTGAAGTACCAGAAATATCTAGCAGTCAGAAGCATATCCCTTTACTATTGATATAATTCGCTTCACATAATTTTTTTACAACAGTATTTTTGAATAACCTTTCCTAGCTCTTCGCTTTCAGTTCTAAATCAAACCTAACCTCCCATATATTTATAAACATTAATAGTTTTTTACTCACCCTCGATTTTCGATTATTATAATCACAAGTGACATGCACATAGATGTCACGAACGCAGCTACATACATCGCAGATATCCATGCGTCGCGCATTATCCATTAAACTCAATATCGATAAGTCGTTGTTCACTTGTGCGGCCATCGGCGGTGGCTCTTTATTGGGGCGCGCAAGCTGCGTGCCAGCTTTGGTGTTGCCTTCCAAAGCGTTCGCAACCATTTGTTGTGTGTAGAATTGTTGTGGCTTAATTTTGTTGCCATCATAACCGAAGCGAGCGGTTGGCGATAATTCGTGATGACGCCGCTGACGACCACTCACATTTTCGCTACCATTTCCGGCATCAGGCTCCTCCTCGTCATAATAGTCATCGTCCATATCTGAGTTGGCCGTTGCAGCATTATTTTTATCAGCAATTTCTTGCGACGTCACAGAGAGTGAGCGCTTCAAGTGCCGCTTTGACGTTAAGAAAGTATCTGCATCGACCACAACATTGAGTGACGGAGTGGGTGGTGAGCTGTGCAATGCTGGCGCCGGCTCAGCAGCTAGTGCAGTGGCTGGCGCAGGTACACAGGTGACGGCAGAGAGGAGGCAACCGAGTGTTAATAACAACAAAAGCAACGTTTTTGTGTTTGCTACCACGCTGCTGTCGCTGGCGGATGTGGTGGTGGGCGTAGTTGTCACGGCGGGCACGCAAGCGCGGAGTTCTTCGCTGTGCAGTTGAGGCATTTCGGCAATGTTTAGGTGTTCGTTTGAACGGAATTTGGTTACGGTTGTGGAAATTGTGATGTATTTATGTAATATCTCTTCGGTTTAGACGAAGTTTAACTCTTTTGGGTTTCACAAATTTACAATTTTCTTGTGTGAAAAAATTATTTAAAATTTAAATTTTGTTTTAGTTCACTTAAATTCGTTTGAATTACTGCCACGAGCAGGTTTGCGGTCAACAGTTAAAAAACTAACTTAATATATTTTTTAATTTTAATTATATTTTTTATTTTATCATAAAATTTTGTGTTTCTTTTTATTTTTTTTCGTGTAATTACCATAAGTGGGCTTAGGCGCTGCACTTGTTTTGTTATTTACTGTTGCTTAAAATGCGCTCACTTTTAAAAACGGCACTAAAAATGAACTTGTGTGATTTTTCCACGATTTTTTGTAAACAATTTTATCTTTTTATTTAATTTTGCAGCTGTTAAATCTGCTGGACATAATCGTTGTTAGTTAAAAAATTTTCACAAACATTTTCTTTTCATTTTGCTTTGAGCTCCAGCTATTTCTTAATTATTTTCCAAAATTATGCCCGGTAACAACGATAAAAACACGGCTTAAGCAGTCGCCACAAAGCCAACACCTCGCAAAAGATTTGATTCTGCGCTTTTTCTCGGTTTGCTTAAGTTTGCTTTCACTGCTTCAACACAAACAAATACACACTTTTCTTGAATTTACTATTATATTTTATTATTCTTTCCCCCCTTGGAAATCTTCTTGCACTAGTAACTTCAATTTCCGCTCGCTATTTGTAAATTGTTTTCTCGCTCTAATTTAGGCTAATTGATTCCTTTGTTGTTCGTCTACGAGAATTAAATTTGCTTAATTCTTTGACATTCATTTTTGTATACTTTTCGTAAATACGTTTAACTGTATGTGTTATACTATGCCTGCATTCACATAAATATTTTATCTTTTGACTATAAATATACACAAATGATATCACCAGCCAACGAACCGCACACGCACGCTTTCGTTTGCTTAAACGCTTTTCCAACGACCTAAACCGTTCCACACGACAGTTCCACAAAGTCTGAGAAATACCAAAATTTTATGATCGTACATGAAGGTATTTTTTCATTCAGCAACTTGCTCCGCTCTTGAGTGCAGCGAATCGAGTGGAGTGTGCGCACTCAGCTATTGCTCGCTCTCTTGTTGGTACTCTGATTGGACAATTGTGGCTGAGTGCGTCCGCGAAAAGTAATTTAACCCAGTGAGAACTTTATGTTTTATATCAAAGCATTAACAATTAATTTCATAAAAAAGTATGCGTATAGTTTGTTTTTGTATTAAGATTTTATTTTATTTCTCTTTTGATCAAAGTTGCGAAACCCCTTGTTTTCTGTAAAATGGTAAGAGTTCACTAGCAATGTCGAGGAACTGTAAATGAGCTTATAACCGTAACTTGGCTTTGTTATATGTAATTGTTTTTGGCGATAAATCAGTTTTGGCTCGTACTTTAGAAATTTATATAGTTATTAACTTTGATAGGTGTTTTTATTATAGTAATTAAACGGTGATCCATTTCGAGGTTCCCTACTTTTTTTAAGGAAAATGGCAGAAGAACATTATTTGGCATTTATCTTTTGAAGATTATCTCTTTTAAATGTTGGCTGCAGCTACGTCTCAGATGGTCTATCCGATAAGTCCATTGACTGCTCATTCCAGGCATTTACTAACTACCACATATACAGTCACCTCTACCGGGATCACCCATTATACATACAACAAAATCCAAAATCGTATATGTGATAGTTGTGAAATCTGAATAGTATGCTCAGAGGTTCTAGCGTTGCCTTTAGCAACATTCTGTGCCAAATTTCGTAAAGATAACTTTACCAAATAAAAACGGTTTACATACAATGACTTTGATAGATCATAGTACGGCTGCTATATCCTATAGTGTATAGTGTATAGTATAGTATAGGAGAGAAAAATACATGAGAAAAATTTCAGTTGGATATTTTATAAGGTCTATGACGTTGCCTCTGTTTAGTATAAAATTTTTGGCAAAATTAATATATCCTGTTCAGCGTATATAAATAAATTTTGTTAACTTTTATTTTTGCTGAATGGCCACAAATTTCTACAAAACTCTCCACAGCTGAATACTTTGCCGAAGTGAGTTTAAAAATTTAGCAGAACGAAATTCACACACATAATTTCATTTTATTAAACGATACCCTAAACGCATTTATTATGCTTCTTTTTATTAAACTAATGTCTTTAAGAAAGTTTCAATAAATCAATAAAATAACTTTACTTAAGTCTGGTAGGTTTGCCTCTCCAATTATACACATTTCCTTATATATTTACTTGTATTATTAATAATAAGAGCAAATTGAATTTGAGTAATTTACCTACTCTCTTATCTCTTGTTGAGTGTTTTCTCAGTTCTTTGATCATACTGTACGGTGTAAAGTCTCTTTTAACTTTAAACCTTCCCCATCCGAACCAAATGCATATTTATAATTTATTGAATATGCTGGCTCGTGTTCTTGTTCTTTGTAGCAGCCTTCGCTGCAGTCCGCAGTGCATTCGTATATATTTATAAACGAGTTAGGACAGCTGATCTTGTTTATGCTCTACTTGTTGTTGCTTTCCATGTTTTGATTATAGCTTTGTAAACGTTTTCGACGTTGGTCAAGTTTAAAAACTTGTTTTTGTACGAACCATACAACTTCACATTATCAACAAGTATATTTTTATGGTTAGTTGCCACTACGAAGCGCCTCACTTTACAGCTAGATTAGTTTTCTGTATACATACGTATAAATATATATATGTATATATTTTTTTATATTAGTTGTATATGTATGTATGTATATATGTGTGTATATGTTTTTGTATACATTGGGGTTTATAACGCCATTTCACTTGACTTCTTGCAGCCTTTGTTTAAACCGGTAGTGGCTCGATTGCTTAGCTAGCATACTTTTGAATAGCGAGAGCCGGTGAGAGAGTGAGTGGGATAAGTACAAAAGTGAAGAGACGGAATGACGGTTTAATTGAATGCAACTAAAAGTGCTTGCGTGCAATTAAAATTTTCTTCTTTGGATATTATTTATTGCATTTGAGGATCGATAATTGAAATTGAATTGAAGTGAAAAATACGTGCTGTGTGCATACTTACATATTTGTATACATGTACAACGGAAGAGGTTGATGTACAAGTGCATTTTTATGAAAATGTAGTATTTAGTACTTTAAGGGGCTATATTCACTTGCAAGTCGGAAACAGCGCATTTGTATTGAATATTTTTGGAAGAAGAATTTTATTAAATCAATAAATAATAAAATGCTAGTCAGAAGGATTTGTCCGCTTAAAATTATATCAAATCAAAAAAAAAAAAAAATTATTATTAATACTATAGATGCATACATATGCAATGATATAAGGACTACCCTAAATTCTGATTTTTACAAAATAACACAAAAGTGCTTCACAATAGCAAAAACCTTCTCAGTGACTCCAAGTTATTATCAAAACTTGCTCCATTTCGAGGTTCTCTACTTTTTAACAAAAACACAGACACTTCAAATTTAATGACAAATGCTTATTATTATTCTTTGGCCTTTATTTTTGAAGATTATCTCTTTCAAATGGTGGCCGCGGCTACATCTCGGATGGTCCATCCATTGAGGCAAATTTGCGCTGACTCCTTCAAGCATGTCGACTGGTAACTGGCGAATGACAGGAGTGTTTTTTGCTTCAAGGCATTAATCGAAACGGAATTGTTAGCTACACTTTAGCTTTAACATATCTTCACGTTCTCATTGGCATCATTTGTGAAGTGATATAGGCCGATAATTGCACCGGTCAACAATCAACGCCAAAACGTTGTTTTTTCTGGATTTTCTTAAGTACCCATTAAACCAGAAACGAGCCTTATCGTTGAACAAGATTTGGTTCGAAACCTTGGATTTTTTTGGAAACATTTCAAGAGCGATGCTTCCTGGAGAAGTCAACCGGCTTCAGTTCTTGTACAAGCTGTCTTTTGCACGTTTTCAATTAAAGATCTTGACCTAAAATGCGCCAAATTATACCATCATCAGTCTTAGTTGCTTCGAACCGCGCCAAATCGACTCTCCACGGTCTTCGTGGACACTATTAGTTACGACTGCTATATTATCTTCACTGCGTGCTGGAAGTGATCTATTCGGTCGAATATTAGCCAATAATGAATGTTGAGTCCCAAGATGGGTGATGGTGTTGTGAATAGTACGCTCGGTAGACCGATTATGTTGATCGGAAGTTCAGCGAATCGCGTGAAACACAATCTTTACAGAACGTGAATTTTCATAATAAAGCTGAACGACTACTACACCATTCGGGTCGAGACCGGTCACCAAGGTCTACTATACAAATTTTGCCCGTAGTTAAATTTTTTTTTGCAAATGTGTAAGTTTTTTATTTAGATGTCTTTTCTGTATATTTAAAATTTTTTTTTTTTAATTCTTAAACTGGCAGAAGTTTGATTGATACAAAGTGATTGATAAAATCTGTGCAATGGAGAAGTAACAATAGAAATACAACCTTGCACTAGCTGTTAAATTAGGTGTTTCTGTGTTCTTGCATATTTTGGTGAACGAATTTTTGCGTGTCACACACTCTTACAAAGGAAGAGAATCTCCTAATATTTTATTTAATTTTTTATACCCTGAACATTATTCAGTTTGACACGAAGTTAAGGGAACGTCGGCTAGGTGGGAAATGATCAGCTGAGTCGATTTAATCGTGTCCGTCTTCGAACTAGTCATTAAATTTGAAGATATCGAACTGAAATTTTGTATGCGTTATTTTCTCAGGAACGTGGTTATCGGATCCTTATGGCATATATGCAGCTGCCATGAAAACTGAACGAGCCGAATCAAGTGCTTGTATGGAAAACCTTTTCATTTGGGGATATATAGTCACGAAATTAGGCAAGCATTATGGTTTAAAGCAATAGTGTAATCTCCAAAGATATTATGTAGTTCGGATTGATAAGCATAGCATATAGGAGCTACCTTAATAATTGATCGATCAAAATTAAGGCGTTATATAGCTTTTTATTTGGTTGGTTGAATTATTGCCAAAGGCAATAACGAAATCTCCGAAGACATTTTTTCATATCCGCTCAGTATAACATATCGCTACCATACAAACTGAAAAATCCAAATTTTAGCTTATTTTTATTATTTTATTATTGTTGTAGTTTTCTATGTTCCAGCTGTCAAATTCATTCCAAATATTTTCAGTTCTTTACAACATAATATAAAGCATATTTCATTTATATGCAACGACCTCCTTGTTCAAATTCCATATTGTGCATCAACCACTTTCATTATCCATTTCATAGCAGCAAGACAACTTGTATCCCGGCCACTGGTTGCTCTATAAATAGATTTGCACTCATTTATTTTTAAAAAGTTAACGTCGACGAGATAACAAAACAAAAAAAAAAAAAAAAAATAAGGAAGATAATCAAAAACTGCAAATAAAACATAAATAAGAGATTATTTGCTGCAATGCCCAAGCAAAGCACGCACGGGTTGTTTACACATTTGCCTGCCAGCTGCCTGCCGTTCAGATAAAATCAAAATCGCTGTAACGCTGTAACGCTAATCTGCACTGGAGCACTTAATACCAATCAGCAAGCACCCACTGGGAAGCAAGGCGATTTTAAACGAAAAGAAATGTGGAAATTTTAGCGAGCAAATATGCAGTCCGCCATTAAGATACATAAAATATTTGATGCTTCACACTCCCACAAATATACAAGTACCATACATGTGGTAAGAGAGATTTAAAATTTAAATATGTGCATCTTCACACATTTGAGTTTCCAATGTGCATTCGCACATCCTCTAGCTATCTCTAGCCTAAACACTTGAATTTTTGTACACATACATATATGTACATACATAGGCGTGTGTATGTATGTAACTATAAATACATATGTACATATATAATTCCCGAATCTACAATATCGTGTATCTAGATGCTCGCTCTTGTCTAAAATTGAGTCAATAT